TAAATCCTTTGATAAAAATAATATATAAAATATAATTTAATTAAATATAATTTGTATATGTATATATAAACGAGATTGAAACACAGAGCGTCGAGAAATTTTACTGGCCTACTACGTAATACAGTAAAGATTTCAAAAAAGTATTACAAAAATAATATTTAAAAATGCAGTAAGGTACTTTTTAAAATTTTTCATTAATATAGTAAGCAATATATTAAGCTGGAATACAGTGCAGGTATATATAAAGTTGTTTTTTTTTTTAGATTATGCATCAATAGGCAAGTGTGTACCTTGGACCTTTAATAACTTTTTCAAAATTATGTGGAAACCAAGGAAAGAAGAGCCTTCTTGTAATCTCCCGATGTGTCTCCCTGTAATGTATATACTCATTAGTAATTTATTGCAAAATATAATTTAAACAGTAGAATGAATTCTTTGGAAGTATATATAATTTGGAGTACATACAGCTATCCAGCTCTCCAGTGACTTTCCGTAGCGTTCCTCGAATGCCTTTTTAATATCTCCCAAGTCGATTTCACTTCGAGATACAATGATACGAATTAGTGTTCGATCCTTTGTACCTATACCGTGCATACTGGCGTATAGACGTTCAGCGAAAAATCCAACTTTTGACTTCACGCATTTCACTGTCGATCAAAAATTAAAATAATTCGTAACGTATAGATGAATATGTACATTAATTATATATTAATGAAAAATATATGGATATAAATACGAGTAAGCTAACTGGGAGCATTCTCTTTTCATGCTATAAAGTTATACTACGTTTATATTCAATCAGGATCTTATACAGATTATACTACATTTATGCAGAAGGTCTATATAGTAACAAATATTTTTATATGTTACATATAATAGTTGCCATGCAACATTGTTAGAGGATATATAACATGTACAGGATTCAATACCACATAGGTATTCACACCATTTTCACATGCATTTTATGAACCAACTCAAATTATGTTTCTGTTTAATAATTATTACACAATAATGGAGATATCTTTTCCTTTCATACTAAAATCACAAATATTACTATTAATCTGGATTAAAAAGAATCTGACAATTGGATTATTATATACAAATGAGGGAGAACAGACTAAAAAATTAGGGGGTATGCCTACACATTTTACGTTTCTAAAAGTTGTCGGGGATCTATGTGTACTCGTGTCCAAAAGTGTATCCAACTCTAAGAATTATCACAGCAATTATATGAATATTTCTATAAATAGATAAACAAAAGCTATGTAAAATCTTGCTGTGGTAACTTGCCTCGACCCTGTGAAAATTTTTCGATCGTTTAACGAAAGTTCGCAGAAAGCGAACGTAAATTTGGATTGTCAAGTATTCATGAAAATTTCGATTCGTGATATCATATTATGCTATGGGGATTATTGATACTCCGTTGCATTCAAGGGACATATAATTTCCTTGTATCGAACTGCTATATCAACCATTTGCTCGTGTTTCACACTGAAAGACACAATTATTTTCAGCTAAGTATAACGAAAAGGGAAATATAATCGAGCAAGTTTATCTTGATCATATAATCATATCAATTAATTCTGAAATACGCGTGTTTATAAAGTAATATGAAACATAAAGGCTAGTCACATTATAAAATTATAGTAGCTGTAGTGATTGATAAATAAGAATGTTAATTGGCATACTCGTGACAATCTGAATAGATATGTAATTAGTGCGTTTATATCTTATTTGGAAGCTTTACCTATTCCAAGCAGGCCTTTCTCGATGCTGCCAGAAAATTCCTTCTTTATGGCAGCCTCTATGTCATGCCCAGATATTTTCTCATACTCGATAAATGTTTGTCGCAGTTGCTGATAGCTGCGAGATACCAAGATCGCGTTGAATTGAGATTCGTCTGTTCCCCACTGTTTTTCACCTGTATCAAGATTAAAAATAAAATATTGCGCATCATAAAATACAAAGTGACAAACATTTTGATTTTTTTTTAATTAGTAGAATCAAAATAAATAAAAAACTTAAAAAATTTTGTGACATACCAGCTTCGTACAATGCTTGGGCATCGGCAATTGCTTGAGCATGATCAATTCCCTGATTTTCGTCTCTGTTTCCCTGCACGAGGGATACCAGCAACCTCTTGAAATGACCCGATGTATCGTCCTTCAGATCGTGCTCGAGTGCTTTGCCATATACTATTCAGAGAATATATATAATGTATTTTTTAAATGAATTAAGAAAATCTAATTATTTATATAAAAATACATAATAAATTGAGCTAACAAAAATCTTACAATTTTCATAAAATGTGGCGATCGTACGGACGCCATAATTGCTGAGAGTACACAGAATCTCGACAATCGCCTCTTCATCGGTACCCATACCGCTGATCGCATCGTGCAGCTCCTTGGCATAATAATGTGGCAGTGGGGTCATAAGGGCAACAATGACATCCTCCAGTTTCCCAGTTAGCTCGCTTTTTAAATCACTGATCAAATCTTTTCCGTACATGGTCTTGAAAGTCTCCGCGACCTCCAGTCTTTGTACAATGCCTCTCTTTGTAAGCACATCGATGATCGCCTTTTCATCCGTGCCGAATCCCTTCATCGCTTTACGCAAGATAGTAGCGTCCGCGTTTGGATCGAACGGTTCAGCGGGATACACAGTTGGAGTACACTAAAACACAATAAGTCAGATTATAACAATCAAGTTTAGCATAATCTCCGACAGAATTGAAGAAATCTGTACATTTAGAGCGACTTTGATCAAACTAGGTCTGATTAACTCAAACGGCGAAATTGCTTCTTACAAAATAAATTAACATCAGGTAATATTTTATATCAATATCATAATTTCTGATTAATCTTTTTTCTTCAGTACACTAAAAACAATAAAAATTGATCCAAAATAATTCATCCAAAATATTAATAGGTCATTTAAATTAATTATTAATTAAGTTAATCGAAATTTGATTAAAGTAATCCTTTCACAGGCTTATATTTATAAAAATGTATATATTTACAATTATATAAATAATTTATAAAAATATATTATTTACAAAAAAAATCCTATTTAAAAAATGAAATATCGCGCTCTAAAATCACGATTATAATTCAGATATTATACATTCAAAGAATCAATATAAATCTTCAAAAAAATTATGAATTAACAACTTCCAGTGATTGATAAGCATTTATATTTTTTTCAATGAAGATTTATAGTTTTCTTTCTTATACAAGATTCTTATAATAATCAATTTGATAATAAGGAAAATTCTACTTGACTTTTGCGCGTGATTAGTCATACTTCGGTGGAACGTGAATCGCTTTAGAAACTAGACTGATGTTAAAAATACGGATGATCGACACCAGTGGATCGGTGTTCCGGATATAGATCGATGCTGCTAATTATCACAGCCGATGACCTTGCTACTTGCAATTTTTTTCGGGGGATTATACCTTGAACGGATAATATTGTTGCTGCGACATCTTGGCTTCCTTCTTCTCCGGTGACGGTCAGCAAGAAATTTCGCGGGGCTACCTCTCGCTAGATTATACCTGGCGAAACAGATCTCATGTCAGCGATAAATAAACGGGCGGATGCGTCATCGACTCACCGACTCGGCAGTTATCGTTTTTTGACGTTTCACGTGAGTCGGCGTGATTGCGACTTACGATCGTCTAACGATCAGAACTATTAGAAGCCGGTGGCGGTCGAGAACTTGTCATTATGTTTCGACCAAACTCCATTAATTAACTTGTGGTGCTTTCCAACACGAGACGCAAGGTGCTCGAATTTCCATTTTAGTAAGATAAGTCGACACAAACACCATTTTATATTTCTTGATATTCAGTGAATAACAAAGATAGAAGGACACTTGCATCGATTCTTGTGTCACGTACCAAATGTAAAACACGCACAGCGTCAATGATAATACATAATCATCTCGTCTTTGTTTAACATTGGAAAACAATAAGGATATAATTATTCACTGTGCCACAGTACTCATCTGTCTCTTACTGAAAATTCTTGATCAATTTACCAGCGTCTATATTTTTTCTTTAATTTCGGTTTAACTTACTTCGCCTTTTATCTTCTTCTCTGCTTCCAAGAATTAAAAAAGGATAAAGAATAATTTAAACCGAGATTAAAGTTACATTAGTATAGAAATGGGCCCAATTAAGTTTGAATCTCTGTACTTAATTATTACGTCGTTATATGTATCATTTCTTGTTATTTAAAACAAATAAAACAATTAAAACGCCAATGTAGATTAACTTTATAATTTCAATTTAACTTATTATTCTTTATCTTCTTCAACTACCCTGACAAAAATAAAAATTGGCATAAAGTAAGGGGATTCGAGAGTATAACAGTAAAATTTTCAAGAGGCGAAAATTGAGACAACCAAAAATAAAAGAGGCATTTACGCTTTTTCTACATTTGACTTACATTTGATTTAGCCCCAATTTTTATCTTCACCAAGGCAAGATTAAATCTACATTTACCGAGTAGACATCAATCGATAAAAAATTAATTAATCGAAGTTCGGCCGAAGTTCCCTGGAGTTCCCTTGGGATTAAGTACTTTGAGTTCTTAATTGGCATACCCGGCGATCCGTCATCGACCGCATCGATCGTCGGTTCCGAGCAACACCAGATAAGAATAAGGAATAAAAAGAGAATACGTGGATACGTTACAGAGTTATATGACTGAACTGTATGAATAACTATGAGGAACACTATCGTTCTCCTTACCGGTCTTTAGCTCCAGTCGGTGGAAAAACTCGGAGTACTCGGATGCGCAGAGACAGACACAACCGAATCCGAGCTGTGCGAGCACTTTGAGCACTACTGTCACACTGTGAGCAACTGTGAACTGTGAGCACACCGAGTCGCTGCGACGGACAGTGGCACACCCACTTTCACGTATCGCGTCATCGTCCACGGCAGTCCACGGCTCCCTCAAGGCTATTACGAAAGCGATTGCGAAAACCCGCGCACGCGGCAATTTCTACGTTGCCGAATAAGAAGAAGGCATGAATTTTCTCTTGTCTCTATCTCTTTCTCTAAATCTCGTCTACTTTCTCAGCTGCATCGCGCGATGCGCTCACGCGCGCAAATGTATTCAAGATTTCTCGGATCGGCGATGAGATTGTGGTCGATGGAAATTGAAACTGCAAAGGATTGATGCAGGATTGCCGCTAGACCGACGTTTGAGATGAAAGCGAGCTCCTCTACGTGTGTTAGTCGATTGTAATAAATATAACCTTGATTCGGCACAACTTTGCGATAGAGGTTTGTTTATTTTTTTCTCTTTTTCTATGAATATCTATTCGTTTGAGAAATTATTCTGACCGGTATTTATTGTCGGTTCTTGTATTTAAAACCGTCTTGAGTACAATTTTAAGATGTCACAATTACAGTTATATTGATATCTTAAAACATCAGGTACTTAAGGCCTAGATTATAATGTAAGATTAATTTTAATCTCAGTTTATATATATTAATAACTTACTCATTTTATAATTTTAAAGATAAACAGTAAATTAAATCAAAATTAATGTTGATCTTACATTGATGGAACTGAGCCTCTAATTCTGAAAACTAAAAAAAGATGAAGAGTTAGTTGAACCAAGATTAAGATTAAATTACATTGATAGAAATAGATATAAGATAGTGTTAAAAGTCTCTGTAATTATTTCACTTTATCTTGCTTTAATTTTAGTTCTCCTGACGACTTACAATGATGAGCAATCTCATAGATGCACACTGGTTTCCCTTAGCATCCCAGGGAAATATTTATTCCATGACCAAACTGTGCTCGTCCAATAATTCCGACAAATTATTAGTAGCATCTTTAAAAAGAAAAATATATTCCTGCGAGTACCATCAAACACCAGAATTTCTGAGACCTATGGTGAAGGAATTATTGTTCACATATATTCCCAGTATGTAAACTATTTTATTCAAGGATTGTACAAGATAGCGTACGAAAAATGTCATACTATTTGGTTTATGTATAAAACATTTACTTTTAATACAAAACTAATACAGGATTTATTACTAAAGTCTGACAATTAGATAATTAAATGGTATAACATTTCATACGCCATTCTGTATCTTCTTTTATAAATTCTTTGATCAGTAGCATTGTGAACAAATTTATTTGTTTATCTTAGGTGGTGCAGAGATTATTTCCATCGATGCTTACAACAAGTCCGACACTGGGGATAGTTTTGTGATAGGCATAACAATCATGAAGACTAGTACAGACACAATAGAAAGGTACTTGAACATATACACGGAGGGTGCAGTAGACGGTGAAGGAGATGAAGGTAGCTCGATCGAAGCCATAGCACAGAATTGTCTCATGGTGGAACTGTCGTACACTCCTTACCATTTGTATCATACCGTTTTACCACAACAAAATTCTGTACAGGAGGTACATTAGCAATATTAGTCAGTTTAAACTGCCAATGAATCACATTACCAGAAGCCTTTTCTTTGTCTCTGCACTTGACTGCACTAAGATTGCTTTCCTTTTAAGAAACACTGTTGGCATAAACGATATTTTATTCTTTTTTGTTATTCAATGAATAACAAAGAATAACACTTGTATCGACTTAAAAGAAAAGCAGCCAAAATCTTTCTATTTGGCTTTTGCCAAATATATTTTATATATATTGTTATATTTATTATTTTTTATATATGTTTTTATGTCACAGGCAAAGTGTTAAGTCAGTAAATGTATACACTTACTGTAGTCTGCTGTAGTACATAAATGCATACATTGACTAGAAGTACATACATTTACTAAAATTAACACTTTGACTATAATACATTTAATTTTAAGTACAATGAGTGTACACTAGTTTAGCTACAAAGAACAGACCTAATTATTATGGTTTCTACTGCTTTATAACATAACTCAAAATTTGCAGGTAGTTTGGCTAATATCTGGGAGCGATTACAGGATTCATATGATAAGGGAAGATAAATTAAGTCACGTTTACAGCGAATCCTCTATTGAAAAATATTTCCCGGAGCTGCATGATATCCAAGCAATCGCGCTGTGGATTAATATTTATTATTATGACAATTATAAGCGGTTCGTATAATTAAAAAAAAAAATCGAATTTCATTCTTTTATCTCGATTTGATATACAATCTTATGCATGCAGGCGAGTCACCGCCGTTGGATGTGAGTGCGGTCTAGTCAAAGTTGCCATCGTAAACGTGGATGATCTGCAAGTTTCTCGAAGTTGGCTGTTAAGATACGACAAGCCTGTACCAAGTGTAATAATATTCCCGCATAGCAACGCCATTATTAAACCAGCCTTTGCAAATATCAATTGTAAATATTTAGGTGTATTATTTATGCATGTAACATATTTTAAAATAAAAATTATAAACAAATTTCAGCCGAGGAATTTGTCTCGAAGGATGACGTCCCAAAATTAAATATTGTTATTTCAAGTACAAATAATGCTGTTGTCTTTAAGTAAGTAGTTTATAAATTAGTAGGTTTTTTTACGATCAAAATGCAAGTGTTTGTCTTTCAATAGAGATATCTTGCAACATGGGATGAAAGAGGACGTGATATTAAGCGGCAGCGAATCGTCGGATTGTATTCTGTGCTGTTGCATAGCGGACATAAATATGGATGGTCAAAACGAGATCTTGCTTGGCACTTACGGTCAGGAGGTCCTAATCTTCGCGTTAACAGGCGACACGTGGGAATTAGCCACCAGAAAACTATTTGACGCTCCTGTGCACTCTATAAGCTACATGGACATAACAAACGATGGAATAAAAGAATTAATTGTGCTCACGCAACGAGGTGTACATATATTACAGGTTCGTAATACTTCTCATACATTTAACTTCAGATACATTCTTTTAAGTGACTGACGTATACATTTTTTATTTTTATATAGCATAACATAGCTGATATACGAACGAAGTGGAAGGAACGTTACAAAAAATTATTTAATATACTAGCTCAGGAATAATTATATTTGTATTTGAAAGGTAATATCCTATATATTTTATATATTTATAACGTATTTGTAATTTTTAAATAAAATAAAAGATGTAATATTTATTAAAGATGAAATGTATGATAAAATAAAAGACGAAATATATCTGTTGAATTATTTTAAATTGATAGAAGAAGGATTAGTCTGTCGAATTATTCTCGCGTTTTTCGAAAGAAGCGCCACAAAGCAGCCAATCACGGATCTAAACGAAGAAACGTGTGCGTCGCACGTGACGTAAACGCACGCGATTGGTCGTCGATCAGAGTCGTACTTCACGCGGCCATGCAAATCCGCTCCGATCCGAATCGGGCAGCGGGCTGCGGGGAACGGGGTCTCGTGACGTTTGTGACAGTTCATCACGCGCACGTGTCCGCGAGCGGTCGCGCGTTCGTCGGCTGCGTTCAGAGCGGACGAATCCTCGCCACCGCTGGGCTGCCATGACTGGCCGCGTTGATCCCGCGCGAGGAAGTGCTGCTGATGATCGATACATCGCCGTGTTCGCGTTGCCGCTGCTGTCCGGCACCGATTGAGATCTGGACCGCCAGGTGACTCGGATCCGAGATCCGTGATTCGCGATGACGAGCAAGAAGAGTCACACCCTCCGTATAGAGTCCGAAATCGATCGGAATCGCGAGGACGGCAACTGGAAGAAGGTTATACAACTCGCGGAACATCTAAAAGTGCAGTACCCCAGCAACGGTAAATGTTTCTCCTTCTTCCCCCTCCCCCTCCGGCACTCTCTACTCTTCTCGGCTCCACCGTCTGATCTGGTTTGATCTGGTCTGATCGCGGTTGTCTCTCCCACGTATGTTGCTTACAGCAACAACGTCCCGCTATTTTCTACAAGAGAAAGAGAGAGACAAACGGAAGGAAAAAAGATGTCACGTCATGTAAAGATCAAGGATATTTGCAGGCTTCGTGAACGAAATGTCACGCTCCTTCTGTTTAATTATATAAATCGAGTTATATGTAATGTTTTGTTCCTGCAATATTTTGCAGTATCATTTATGCCGTTTTTAATCCCGTAATTGCTGTTTCACGTAGCAAACACGCAGAGAGAAAATAATGTTTATATAATAACACATTGATTAGACATGTTACCAGAAAGTTAATGAAATATTGCCGATTGTTGCCGAATATTTTTTTGAAGCGATACTAAATATTCAATAAGTTCTATTTTATTAAATATTTGCATATGTAGTTTGTATATAAATACAGACAGGATTGTACAGCAACTTGATTTTGCTCGACAGAATGTCTGGCGAATTTTTTAAGCGGAGAAGCAAGATTGGAGAGTTTTTTGGAGCAAACTCCACCGATAGATGCTAATATTGTCAAGGCACGAAATGGACTGACTGAAACGCGGAAATACTTGTTATTAGCTGCTAATGAAAAGGATAAACAGGTACTGTAATATCATGAAAGAATAGTGTGTCTGATGGAAAATAAGAGTCAATTGTGATTGGTTTGTTTCTAATAATACCATTTCAGGCGTTAGTCGTTCTGGATGCTCATCTGCTACTTGGAAAACTTCACTATGCGATGGGAATGTACGAGGATGCGATTCATCACTATCAACAAGCTGAACTAGATACACTCACAGAAAAGCAATTACCTTGTCGAAGTTTACGTATTATAGCAGAATCGTATGCAATTAAAGGTTTGCAATTGACAGTTATTATTGTTTCTTCCTTCTGATGATAGTAGTACGTTTTAGTGCAATATTTAAAAAGGTACACATAACAGCTTGCTTTATAGTTTTCTGTGTTTTCTCTCTTAACAGTAGTTTTTTTGTTTGATAGTTATGTGGTTAGATTATATCTATATATATATATATATATATATATATATACATATATATCGTTTTATGTGCAAGATTTGCATTGAACATAGGCATTTCATAATAGATAGCATAAATTGAAACTGTATACTTCGACAATTCTACTGCATATATATTGTCTTCCCGTTAGCGTGTCCATGCACTAATTTTAGTAACGAATTGATTAGACACATTTATTTAATTCATAAATTTCTTATTATTCAGTATATTCATTTATTACTATGGCTTGTGTATGATTTAGAGAAAGAAAGATCGTTTACTTTAGACACTGACAAACATTTATCCTGCCGAAGACTGCGCATTATTGCAGAATCGTATGCGATCAAAGGTTTGTATGCTTGTTTGCTTCGTTTTGCTTGTATTTATTTAGAAATTTATTTAATTATACTGCACATTTATGCAATATATGTATATTGCACACTTTATATTAATACCCATTTTATAATAATATAGAAGCTTGCTTGTAAATGCTTTTATAAATTTAAGAACATACATCAGCATGTTATCTCATTTGTATTTTTTAATATATAGAATTTTCAAAAAATCTCTTAAGCGGGATAAACAAAAGTTCTATGCTTTTGCTTCTTTTGGTATTTAATTTAATGTACTTGTTTCTATCAAATACAACTAGATTTAGTTGCGATGAGTTTGGGGCAAGCACAATATGAAGATCGTTATTATTCACAAGGAATGAAGCTATAACAAGTTTTGTAAAGTATTTCGTCACACGTTTTTGCCCACTAAGATTGAAAATTTTAATTTTATTTTGTACATTAAATTTAGTTTTTTTTCTTAGCATTGTCCTAAACCTGTCATTATTCCCTATTTGATAATGATATTGTAAACTGTTATTCATGTCAGGTCTCTGTCTGGAAAGGCTACCACCACACTCTAAGTCGAAATACAAGATTACAGAATGGCAAGAACAGATAATCAAGTGTTACGAGATTTCTGGCGACTTGACGCTGGTATATCTGCAGGAGCAAGACAAAATTGCTATGCAGCAACAAAATGGTATTTCAACTATAAATACGAATAATACAGGTAATTGGCAAAGTTTAATCCGATAAAAAAATATAGCCTTTAACATTTTAATGTTTCTTCTTTTTTTTTTATAGGTACATACTCTACATCAACTCCAGTTTCTACAAAGCATATCGGTCCCATTTTGGAAACTGCGCTACAGAGAGCGCCAATATTGTATATTCAAACCGGCAACATACAAGCCGCTGTTAATCGTTATAGGTATGAGCTAATTACATAACTCTATTTCTTGTATAAGAAACTTTCTTACGACTTATTAATTAACAAAAATATATACTTATAAATACTTGTCATATAATTTTAAGAAAAATATTTGTTATAATGATAATTTTTTAATACCAAATATAATTATTAAATATTTTTCCATGGATAGCTTATAATTTGTTTCAATTTTATAATAGGGAGATTTTATCTGCTGTTGAATCTACAACTACTCAGAGTCTGCGAGTAACTCTGACCAGACAGTTGGCGGAAGTGTTATTACGTGGCATAAGCGGTACTGATTACAAACCACCAGACGAACAAACTGACACAATGGGTATGATAACAAATATATATCCGCATAAATATAGCGAAATATTCCGAAGAAGAAAAATTCATTCATATTAATGTCGCAGCAGCCGTGAGTAATAGACGGGTAAATCATTACTCAGGCGCCAATCTGTCGGATTCGCCATGGAAACCAAAGAAGTACGCAGGACCAAATATGTTCGTCCCCAGGAATGAGTACGAGGAGTCGATTCTGCTGTTGTTGATCAGTGAAGCGATGGCGGTAAGAGACGCCGTTCTTAGTCAATCGCCTGAATTCAAGGAAGCCAGGATACATGCGTTTGAGAACGCCACTGCTATCTACGATCTACTCACAGTTGTTGTCGTCAGATGGAGTCAAGTGGAACTTTTACATGAGGTTGAAATTTTCTCTCTTGTTGAAAAATCCTATTACCATCTTATTGTCTACCACTGTTTTAACGATAAATTCATATATATTCAATATTTCATATTTTAGTCTTTCGAAAGAGCAATGAAGTTCTCTCATGAGGAAGTACACATATGGACGCAGTACGCGCTATGTCTAATAAGTATGGGGAGGTATATGCACGCGTATAGAGTTTTGAAGGTAGTCGCCAGGCTATCGCCTCAGAAAGTAATGCCCTGTCTATTGGCGGCGAGGCTATGTTACGAGCAGCTAAATATGGTAAATAAACTATATATATTTCTCATCTATATCTTTATCTATATTAAAAAATAAAAAGCATATTCCCACACTGACGATTTTGAGCAGATAAATGAAGGTATCGAATGGAGCCAAAAGGCTCTGCAGCGAGAGATGGCGAGTCCACAGGGGATGCAATCTAGATGCCACTTGTACATCGGAATCGGCCACAGCATGCTCTCTACGAACACAATCGTGAAGCAGGACAAAGTGAGTCACACAAACACCGCGATGGACTGCTTTCAAAAGTACGTATTTCTCGCGTAGCTTAACAACAATTAAGAAACGGCATTCTCATAGATTTTTTTCTTAATTGATTAATAAAAGATCATGTATTCTCGAATAGAGCGCAACAGTGCGATCCCAACGATCATCTGGCTGAGTATTACCTGGCTCATGAATATGCGATAAACAGACAAATAACCGACGCCATCGTACATGTGAAAATCGCGCTAAATCTACGAGCAGAACACATTCCATCATTGCATTTATTCGCATTACTCCTGTCGGCACATAAGCAATATTCTGAGGCATTACATGTGATAAACAGCGTACTAGAGGAATATCCAGACAACTTGAATTTCCTCTATGTGAAAGCGCATCTCGAATTGCGAAGCATCGGCGGTGTCGATGCTTTATATACCATCAGCCACATGCTACATCTGTGGAAGAGTCTTTATGAGGATCAGACGAACGTTAATTGTAACGAACAACAGAGCGAGAAGCGCAGCGAGACTAGAAGCGTCTTTCAGCTTTACACGTCGGAAATGTCCGATAAAGATTCTAGTGAGTTATATACATCGTACACGTAATGTAGATAACATTGGATAACATTAGGTAGAAATAACAAACGGGTTATGTGTCATTTTATAAACA